GAGCAAAATATAGGTAGCAAACAAAAATGAACCGCGTACAGACGGATGGAGGAATTTATTTATAGATCGTCCGTGTTTTCAGCTCGCGGCCAGTCCGACTCAACTTAAGCCTTCTTTCTTCTCCCGTTTAGTTTTGTCGTCGGTTTGCCGCGACCCGACGCGCCTTTTCCTGTTTTTTTTCTTCTATTTAACGACGACAACAACAACATTGCAACGGTGGTGCGTGCCCACAACATGACGGAAAGATCAAACAACGCCACCAGAAACAGTAATAAATGGTGAAACGTGCATCAGTGTGGAGAATGTGTCTGAGAATAAGGCTGCTCTGTATAGACTGTTCAGGTTGGTACCTCTGACAAAGTTTACAGCCTCTGATGCGCCTCTCTCTCTGTGTTTTTGTTGTGGTATAGCGGGTTTAGGATTTGTCTAGTTCGCAGGGATTTAAATCTGGCATGCCGCGTGTCATTACGCCGGCTGGTAAACTTAGAATGCTGTTTCCTGTTTATGTAATTTGGTGTTGTACACACGCGGTTTTCAGGATAAGGGTGGATCAGTGTTGCCAGAAATTTTCGAGCGAATACTTTCAACGGAGCCTTAAAAAACCTTCATATTCCTTCAACTTCACAAAAAAATCCAGATCTTGTTAAAACTCACCAAATTTCGTGTTTGGTTTGGTTATTATAAAATACATCAAATTTTATAATTAGGAGAAAATTTTTAAAAACTTATTTCTGGTCATTTTTAGACACCGATGCATTTAAATAAACTTTAAAAAAACGATCAAAAATGCTGTGATAGATACTCGACAACAGTATTTTTTTATGTTTCATAAAAATCATCTTACTATGACTGTCATACAAATATGTAGCTGACTGTCAGCTGACTTATTAGATATGTATGTTTTCCGTTTACCTATTTATTGCTTTTCAACATCAAGAACTTTAGTTTAGTTATGGTATGTGTGTAATAAGACGTGTGTTGAAAGATAAAAATGTATCTATTAATTTTTTGTTAAATGTTAACATCTTTCGAATTGTGGACTTGGTTTGACAGCAACATTGCTTTAAATTGAGGCATCTTTAATTATTAATCGTTGTTAAAGTGAAAAACTAGATGTAGGAAAAACAATAAATATTCTTACTACATATTTTAACAATTTTTATAGTACAGAACTGCCAGAAACCTTCATATTGTATTCTTTTTGGATAAAAATCCTTCAGTCCTTCAATTCTGGCAACACTGGGGTAATGGCGTTGTCTTTTTTTTAGCCGACCATACCAATAGGTATGGTAGGCTATTAAGATCGGCAAAAAAAAGTTTTTTTAATTTCACTCAAAATAAGTTATTTGGGTCATAAATGACCTATTATTCTCATGGTATCTGTCTGTCTGTCCGTCTGTCCGTCCGTCTGTCTGTCCGTCCTGTCCGTCCTTTGCTAAAAGGACAGCCCCTTGTCATGAAAAAAAAGTCTGGAACTTCTTAAAGAAGTGCTTTTACAGAAACAAAGCCGGAATAACCATAACAAGAGAAAGAGTGTACAATAATTCCAGATACCTTGTGAGTGCGGTGAGTTGCATATTGGAGAGACAAAACAACAGTTCAATAGAATGCATATTTCTTATTATAACTTCTACATTAATTTGTCAATTTATGTTGTTAGTTTATACCGTATGATCGAAAAAAAAAACGGCGTCCAGTTGGCTTGGAAATGAACATCGATGACATTCCCCATATAATTTTACATATAAAAGGACAGCGATCTTCATTTCATAGCTATCGCCGACGCCGTTTTTTTTTCGATTATACGGTACTATTGTATTTTTATATCACTCCTTTTCATGTTTTTCATCTCTTATATATATTTTTTGTGGTGTGGAGGGTAAGGATCTGTTTATTTCGCATCTATTTAAATCTGGACGACAGTATAGCGCCAGCTGCTAAACTTGGATCGCTATTTCCTGTTTATGTAGTTTTCTATCGTGTACACGCGAGATTTTCAGGATGGCGGAGAATATTGCTCTTGTTTCCTTTTAGTTGCGTATTTTTAATTAGTCTATTATTGAATCTTATAATTTTATTTGCATTTCAATTTAGTTTAATATTCCATTAAAGTTTCAGTATTTTTTTAAAAGTTGCATTATATTTTAATAGTTGTAAATATTTTAAATGTGTCAGCAACTGCCTTTAAGGATAAATTATCTTCAATAATGTGAATACATATAAAATCTATTGAGCACGAATAATCGACCCTATTTGAGGAAATGTGGATTTGTCTTAAAAATAAATTACCAAACCTGAAGTCTTCTATAAAAAGTCAATAAAGGAACTATAAAGACTTGCACGGAAGAGCATAATTAATTTCGAATAGCATGCATTTTTTCTTTTATTTACAATCGTGTTCCTTCAAGAATAATTTTGTTTAAATTCTTGAAATTTGGAACTCCAGTAGTCTATATAGTCCACTAGTGTTTATATTTTATAATGGGTTTTTTGCAGTTGAGAATATAATGTTTTTTTAATGAAGATTGTTCTCACTGAAATTAACGAAAATCTTTGATTTTTTTCTGTCGTAAGTTCTGAGAAACTTTTTCGAGTGATCGTTAGAAGATTCCCATTCCAGGTTACGAATGGAGTCTTCCTGGTTCTTGAGTTCCGCTTATAGTTGGTTTCCGCTTGGAAAGCAGAACGGTTCTGGCTCAGTTAGTGGAGTGTTCGTTCCTTTTCTAGCTAGAACGTTTGCTTTTTCATTGTCTTCTATCCCTTAATGGGCACCCATCAGAGTAGGAGGACTTTATTTTCTTTTACTAATTTGTTCAGTTTCTCTAGACATTCCTTGACCAACTTCGAATTGTTGGTTACTGACATCTTTTAATGCTGCTTGACTATCGGATAAGGTGACTATTTCCTGTTTTCGATAGTTCCTATCTAAGATACATTTTACGCATCTTTCGATAGCGTAGATTTCTGCCTAGCATCCCCAGCATTGGTCCAGAGTATTTAGTTTTTGGCTCAAATACTCGTATCTCTGTCCCTGCTTTGGTTTTGGAAGCCTCAGTGTACCACGTTATGGTTTGGTCTTTTACATGAGCAAACTGAATAGGTACGACGCGACGTAAGGTAAAACATTATGTGTAGACGCGCCTTAACTCTGCTACTCGTTCGAGTATTATCGGTTTTTTGTTTCAAGTAAATTCCTTGGTAAATTCTATCATATTTTGGAAAGTAAAATTTACTCCTATTAATATAATTTATTTCTGTTGTCGGACAATGTCACCTCTTACTCTCTTACCAAAATCCATTCGATAATAATCGTGATCAATTTCGAATCAAATCGTGAATTAGTAGACATCTTTGTCTTAAGCTTTCTAAGCTTCGAGAGATCATCTTTATAATCGTATAAAATTGATGTCAGTATTGGTACAGCGAAATATTACGTTTAGCAAGAGCAAAGAGAATTTTACAGGTGAATCGCACAATAGAACGAGGGCATTGTTTCAGCCTGCAAGATCGTGTTTTCTGAAGTAATTAAGACTTTAACTTATAGGGGAAAATGGTGGATGAATAGGAAATTCCAAGAAGTCATTTCCGTTCATTGAACTAAAATTGTTAATTCCCAGGCGTGAACCTTAGAGGCCAAGCCATTGCTGCAATTATTCGACATTTTTCGAATAAATTATTTAAATAGTAGGTATGTAACTTTCATAATTAAAACAAATAACTACTATACGATCGAAAAAAACAGCGTCAAAACGGCTGGGGAATGACAATCGAAGATATTTTATATTAAGTAAAAATGATTTGTAAACGGTGTAGTTTAAAATTCGAAAAAAAGTTGGTTCTTTTTTCAGTAACATATCACATGTTTTAAGTGATTTTATTCGAAATTCAATATAGTCCAGTAAATGAAGGTTGAAACCACGGCCTAATTCATCGACCGGGACTTTTTAGGCGGATTGTTTTTGGGGAGTAGTTTTTGGGGAAAAATTATAACACCGTGCTCGGCCAGCTTTGGCCGAAAAAAAGGATCTTAATGGCCTAAAAATAAGTTTTCGTAAATATCTGCCACAATATGCATTTTACAAAATTTTTCTTGGAGTAAAAAATGAAGCTTAGGTAATTACCTACAAAAATGGTTCATCATTTTTTACGTAGTATTAGTAGTTTTTGAGATATTCCGCCTCGAAGATCTCTGATTTTTTTTTTCATGTCTTAACGCTCCGAAGATAGATTTCATGAGCGTATCATTGATTGATAGGACAAATTGTTTAATAACTCGACTAAAATTTAATATTTTTTGATGATTCAAAGTTGATTTAAAAGGTAGAATCAGCAGCTATTGCATTTTGGAACTTCTTTGAATTTTGTCTTATTCTTTGATAATAAAAAAAGTACGAACAACTTTGCGAAAAAAAAGTGCCAGTACCTTTTTTTAGCTAAGAACCCAATCTTCCATTTGTCGATCATGAAAATCATCTACATACCCAATTTCGGCCAATATTAGCGGAACATCCGTTACTACTACGCTTAAAAATGGCCCTAAAGGGTCAAACTTTAGGGCGGTTTTTAACCGTTTATTTTACGAAAAAAAGTGCCAGGATCTTTTTTGTAGATAATCACCTAAGTTTCATTTTTTATTCCAACAAAAATTCTGTAAATTGCATATTTTGGCAGATATTTGCGAAAAGCTGATTTTTAGGCGAGTTGGAGTCATTTTTTAGGCCAAAGCTGGGCGAGCACGGTGTTTTCTCCGTGTTACTCCCCAAAAGCTACACAATCCGTCTAAAAAGTCAAGGTCCACAAATTACGTCGAGACTTGGGTCTTTTTGTGTCCTTATAACTGGACTAATATGAAAAACTTATTCGTGGTTTTGAAGTTATCAAAGTTAGCAATCACGTTTGCTCCCAATCCGAATATTTTGTAGATTTTTTATTTAGCTACATAAAATTAGCCTCATTAAATAAAAGAATTTTTCGTTTTTATTTACATTTTTAAAATCAAACTCTAAATACATTTTTTGTTCGAACTGTAAGCATTTCTGGAAATTATCCACTGGACGAAAATAGATGTTTCTCTTTACTTTGCATTGATTTGTAATTCAAGTGAAAGCAGATTTTATGTACATAAATTGACGTTTATCGATTCTACAGACACAAACTCATAAATCATCTGCCAGTAAGTGAATAACATTTACAATTATTATGTTCAAGACATTGTTTTAAATAGCAACTAAATTGTTATTTTACTACATTTTTGTTATTAGTGTCTCCTTTGAAAAATATTTGGTAGTATCTAAAGTATTGATAAAATAACTATTATTTGTTGATAATCAAAAATGGAAACT